GTGGGCAGGCCCTGGCACAGGGTGCCCAGAGCAGCTGTGGCTGCCCCTGGATCCCTGGCAGTGCCCAAGGACAGGCTGGGCAGGGCTTGGAGCAGCCTGGGACAGTGGGAGGTGTCCCTGCCCAGGGACATAAGATGTATGGAATAAGGTGAGCTTTAAGATCCCTTCCAACCCAAACCATTCCATGATTCCAAATTTTTCCAATGGTAAGAAAACTTTCAAAACAAAAGGTACTCTCCTAGAATCTTTGTTTGCTGCAAATACAAATTTAATTGTAACTATTTCTTTGATGATGGTTATATCAACAACAAAGCTGTAGTTAGGCCTGAGAGATTTTAAGCTTTTTATCACAAGTGTACATGAATGTCTCCATGATGTTATAAATCAGATGTTTTCAATATTGCAGAATATTTCTGAATGGGTTATAGCTCACACCATTTTCTTCACCTTTAGCATCCCTTCCTCTGTGCAGTTCCCAGGATCAGCTGCTGCTAAACTTCTTTCCAGCCTCAGCAAAGAACAGTAACTGCTGAGTAACTTCAGATGCTCAGCTGGTCCCACACACAAACAGACCTGTCACAGCCCCTCTAAGAGTGAGGAGTAAGTACTGGCACCCTGCTGTAACTGCTCTGGGATAGAAGGAGACATTGGGAAAAACTCCAGTAAAGACAACTCTGAATGAACACACTGTGATCATGTGCATGATCTTCTTCCCAAGCCACATGAAAAATTTGACAATTCTTGTGGTCAGACATTTTCAAAGCCATAACACAGAGAAGACATGAAGTACAATGTCCAAAGATGAAGGAACACTTGGAGCAAAAGGTTTTTAGAGACATCAACTTGAACAGTCAAAACCAATTGCAAAATAATTTTCAAAAATATTTTAAGAAATAACACTTGAGGTTTGATTGTGCTCTGCTTGAGTTATTGGGTTTTTCTAAAGTGTTAACTTTATTTCCCTTTTAACTGTAACATCAGTCTAACTTTTGAGAAAAATGTGATAGAAAACCTTTGTGAAATGGTTTGATTTCATAGCACAGATGACAACTTCAAGCTAGGAACTTTTGGCAAAGCTAAACAACAGAGATCATGCCAGGTTGTCCCAAGAGCTCGTTTACTGCTGTGAACTGAGTTAAAGCATATACTTCTATCACAGTTTTATTTCAGAAATGTTTCTGAAAGAGCTTTTCCTTGATGTACACCCTTCTGAAACATGAACAGGCTCTGTGGTGTTCCCAGCCCCACAACCGTGTCCCACCTCCCCGGATACGCGCGCACCTGCTCCTGCAGCCACCCAGCAGAACCACAGAGCCCACATTGACGTGGTTTGCATCCTGCAGGGCTCACGTTTCCTCGGCTTCCTGCCTGCTGAACAACGCCTTTCTTGTTGCACTTTTGTCATTCTAAATGCCCCTGGTATGACAGGGCAACAGATTCATTTCCCTTTCAATGAAAGTACTGTTTTTCTATTAAACATTGTGTCCTCTGAATATAAATGGAAAATTTTCTTAAATGCTCAGATTAAAAACACCCTTTGGAGTCACATTAAAACCTGCAATGTATAAAAAGCTCACAAGCACTGGTGGTTTGATGAGTTTCTCCTTCACTGCCTCACACTGCTGGTGTCCCTAAAGCTGGGTTCTGCCACCCCATGTGCAAGAGCCAGCCCACACGCCGAGTCAGGATACTGGGTTTTATCACCATCCTGCAGAACAAGGTGCCAGGGCCCTAACAATCCTGGCACACCTGGGAAACAAGCACAGGCTTGTGTACAAAAAGGTAACCCAGAAAAATGACATAGAAACGGGTGATTGTTCACTCACACTTCCATAACGTAATTCTTAATGTGCATCTGATGTCTTAATCCAGCTCACTACACCCTCATTCACACAGACAAATTTCCCTGAGGGGCTGTTTTTTAGCATTATAATACTCTAAGGTAACTTCGGGCTGTATTTTTATCCTATCAGCTACCACCAAGTTAATATTTAACCTTACACTTGATTAAAGTTTCTGCATGAATCTGTTTGAACAATTGTCAACAAAATAGGGATTTCTGGTGTTCTCTTCCTAGGGGCTCCATTGCCCTGCACCCTGCTCTCACAGTGTCAACTTGCTGTGAACTTGCTGTGAATTTTGTAAACTTCATCTGACGTCACTACTGCAAGAATTCACACAGAACCCATTCATTTTATACAACCAGTCCAGTCCTGGCTGCAAGACTTGCATGTGGCATGGACTGAGTCCTGTCCCACTCAGGATATCCCAGCAATCTGTGATTCCCCCTGTGGAAACCTGCCTGTGTCATCAGCCCTTTGCTGCCCTGCAGAGCACATCTGGGGTAGCTGGTGACAACATTGTTGGCACGTGTGCTGGGTTGGATGCACTGACCTTACTAAGAATGAAGACCTGAAGACCCTTCTGCCCCAGCCTGTTTGTCATTTAAGTTTTCAGTAAGGGACAGACCGAGCACTACAACAAGCTTAGAGCAAAGTTCAAAGAGGCCAGGCAGTTGCCGGTACATCACGTACTGGCTCTGAAAAATGTGCAGTTTTAGATGTGGTAACTCCTGGGTTTAACACTTGTGAGATGTTGTAGCTCTTTGCAGACTGCCCTTTTGTCCCACCACAACCACCAGCTGTCACTGAGGTGGCAAAGGGGGACAGCCACCCAGCCCAGGGGGAAATCCCCCCTCGAGGGCTGTGTCTCAGCTGGCTGAGCTCCACACACCCTCCAAGGGAGGCTGGCCCTGCTTCCAGGCATCAGTGGACACATCAGGAACCAACTGCCAGACTGAAGGCATCCCAAAAGATGTATTCCCATTCTTTCATACAAATTAAGTTAGCAAAGAGATGTTTAGCTCATCAATATACATTGCTTCTTAAAATAAAAGGAGGCGATGTAAGAAAAATTATAAGAATTCACGTGAAAAAAGAAAAATAATCTAATTGTAAGTTCTAAAACAGCACATCATTATTCCACAAAACTACACTTATCATAGAAATATTTGCATTTTACCTGGAGAATAAAGTTCTTCTCATTACTAAAAATAAATCTCAGAGGAAAAGAGAAATATGAGCCAGTTTTTAGCACTTCTTGCTTTCTCAACAGGACAAATACAGCAATTTTAATTACTAATAATACTGCTCACTATCTCCTGTTTTTTCAATATATACACATTGAGGAAGGTATTTTTAATCTCTCAAAGTCTGTACCTGTTGAAACCTTCCCCTCCTTCTCACCCCACATTAAAAAAAAACCTCAGTGATGGAGTCAGAAAAAATTCATCACACCTTAAAAAGGAGAAATGCTAATTCTGTAACAGTTTAATTTCTCAAATTCAGTGTGACAGGAATATCACCTGTTCTAGCATAATTTCAAGAAATTAAGGAAGAATACTTACAGTTCACAGTTCATCTCATTCTCTCAATAAATAGAAATGGAAAGATATTGCTTATCCACTCAAGGTACTTCAAATCCTGTTTGGAGACATGATTATCACAGAATCATGGGATGGTTTGGGTTGGAAGGGACCTTAGAGCCCATCCAGCTCCCCACGGGCAGGGTCACCTTCCACTAGACCAGGTGGTTCCAAATCCATCCAGCAGATTTTACTGCAGAACATGCGTTAAACAGAACATATTAATGAGAACTGAATTTCTGACAAGAAGGAGACATTTGAGCAAGAAGGTTGTAATTTCACACTGAATAAATTATTTTTCTCTTTACATAGAGAGAAGCTTCTCCAGAAAGAGCCTCTGGGCAGGAAGCTCATCCCCTTCCGCAACTGAAGGAAGTTGTTTGAAGTGTCTAAAATGGGAACCAACTACCTGTACTGCAAGAACTTTCAGATAAACACAGACATACAGAAGCCATGGATGCTGGATTCCAGCAGCAGTGGTCCTGCTTGCTCTTCACTGTTGCTCACAGATGTTTGTTGTTCATAACTAATTATCCTCTATCCAGAATTCCAACAGAAAAACAGAAAAAAGAGGAATTAAGCCAACTGTAGTAACATATAGTTGTTTTTATTTGACTGCCATGGCAGAAAGTAGACAATTCATAAACTCAATTTCTTATTCTGCCTCAAATAGAGCATAATTGTTTCTAGAAAAACACCTAAGGACATCTTTGTGATGTTAGAAGGGAAAGGGTGGGGAGCAGGAACAGGATAATTGTGCTCACTCCAGGGGAGCAGGGAAACAGGAGGAATTACTGAAAGCAACTCTGAGCAAGAAGGTAGTTTTAATTCATTCCTATCAGAGGTCCATTCCATTTCCAAACGGTTTCCAGCTTGAGTCAACCCAAAATTAGATAATGTTGCAAACTTCTAAAGCAAGATGTAATACCTCATTTAAACTTACACAATCCAATGTTCTTGCCAGCATGACAGGTATTAATTAAAAAAAGGTAATTTTGCAACTGGGTGGGGGGGGAATGTGGAAGCAAGAGTTGTTACTTTTGATTCTCTAGAAATAAAGAGGTCTGAAACACTGATAAAAAAGAAACACAATCATCTCACCATTCACAGGAAGCAGGTGAGGTGCTGAAGTCTAGAACTTCTGACATTTACTAGAGAGTCAAAGCTGACTCATTAACTCATTATAATTCATTAACTCTGGCAAAGCCTAGAGATATTTATGGACTGAAACCCAACGTATTACCGAAAAAAGCTCATCCCTGAAAAACGGAGGCCTGGGATCAATCCCACACACAGCAACTCCTTTAGTCACTTCATCAAGGATGGGGACTGTCCCACTCTGCTCTGCACTGGGGCAGCCTCACCTCCAGGGCTATGGCTCAGGTACCCTGATCGCTGTCATGGAGCCAGAGCTTCACACGGGCTTCAGTGCCAAGGCAAAGCAAACCCTGCCACCCTGACTGTCTCTTGGCCACCAGCCGGAACACATCAGAGTCACCAGCTGCATCGGTGCGTCCGCACAGCTCCGGAGCCTGAGGCCGGCCGCCACGCCGGGCTGCGCCCCGCGGCCTGCAGAGGGAGCCGCGGCCGGCCGGCACAGCCGTCAGGGAACCGCAGAACGCCCACACGGAGGAGAAAATCATGCAGTGGTGATAAAGCGACTGTATGAAGTCATAGAGGTACTGCCTCGTAATAAGCACATTGTTGGAGGTTAGGAATTTTCCTTTTATTTTTCTTTCTGTCAGGGAATTTTCTCCCATTTGTTGCCTGATGTTCAGTGGCGATACTTCAGAGACAAAAAATGAGCTGGGAGGAGGAGGAGGCGCAAGGGTGCAGTTTGCTACCGCCCCTTAGCTGGGGGGCTTTCTCTTGGGAAGGGCAGGGACACCGAGATTTTGGCCGGGCTCGAGGGGCTGGGCTCAGCTCCTCGCTCGCTCTCGGGCCGCGGGGGAGCCGGGCAGGCCGCGGGGGAGCCGGGCAGGCCGCGGGGGAGCCGGGCAGGCCACGGCTGTGGGGAGAATTCGCTGCCACGGCCGAGTTCTGTCCTGCACGGCTTTCTCCTTGTGCGTGAGCTGCTGCTCTCAAGAGCAGCTGTTGAACTGGGATCTTTCCAACACCCCACCTCACTGGGAAGGGGATCCCTCAGGAGGGAGCGTCTCTGGCTGCTTGGGGCAGCTGCTCGTGTGTGTCCTTGGCAGACATCTGTCTTTCAAACCAAGACACATTCAGATCTGTCCAGCAGGATATCCTGTCTCCAATGGTGCTTACAAGCAAATGCTGAGGAAAGAGGCAGCACAGAATCCTCCCTCACAAGTCCCTCTGCTTCAACTGTCAGCCGCCAGAATAATCCAAGCCTGTCATAATTTGTCCTTTGGTAAAGCTCAGAACATCTCTGCGCACTTGCTCAGTCTGCTTTTTTTTTCCCGTTTAACTTTCTGTAGGCGAAACATCCTTGAGCATCCCACGGATACAGTGCCTATTCTTGGGATCCTCGCCCCCTCCCTCTGCGTGGAAGCCATCTCCTCACAGCCTCACTGGCAGCCCAAGCTCGCGCAGTACAGCAAACAATCAGTTCCTATTCAGTGGCTTTGTGCCACTTCAGATCCAGTATTTGGTTTAAATCATCTCTCCAGGTTGAAGAGTTCCAGCCTGCTCAGCCATTGCTGCAATGGCAGCTCTGCTCTGCTTTTGATTATCAAAAATGTTTTTTGTTATAGTCACCAGCCCCAGGCCCTCCCCACTTCCTAGATAACTTCTCCAAGAATCACGGAATTGTTAAGGCTGGAAAAGACATCTAAGACCATTAAGTTCAACCATCTACCCAGCTCCAGCACCATGCTCACCACTAACCCATGTCCTCAGGTGCCACATTCAGGGATGGAGATTCCACCTCTGCCCTGTGTCAGGGCCTGACAACCCCTCCTGTGAAGAAATGTCTTGAAGACAAGAGAAAGAGAAATGCATGCCATCTGTATCCTGAGTGCAGGTGAATCACTATAATTACACAAAATAGTAGCATAATGTCTCTGTCCTCTGTTTTTTTCTTAATGTCTGACATTTTATAAGCTAATGCTCTGCAACATCATAAACTCCAATATTTTGCTCCTGAGTGGTGATGGCCAGCATAGTTTCTCATCTTGTGGAAAAGCCAGGAGAGTTTCCCCCAGGCTTTACTTCTGTATGTTAACTATTCAGTCATGCATGATGGCTTCCTGTAACTCCTTACATCTGCCCTACAGAACCATGGATTATGTCACCTCCCTGCTCATCTGTTTTTCAGATAATGAATATACTGGCCCAGACCTCACTGTGAAGTTTAAAACACACTGTGTGACTCATGCCACACCATGTCACCAGCATTACTTCCTATAATCTAGCCAAAATAGCTCTTCACACAAGAGGGAGAATTCAACATAAAACCCACCAGAAACAACCCAAATATCTTAATCTCCAACCAATTAATTCCAAATTTCACTGTGGTTCTAACATACATTAACGCATAGAGGCAATTGTGTCCTGGATCCCAGCACCTCTTACAGCCAAGAAATTAAGATTCAATTAATATCATACTATTACAGAGCTGTAAGTGATACATGTATTCCAAGAACAAAATATGTACAATTTTGTTTTCCTAGTGGTCCATGAAAACTATGGGAATTGAAGTCTTCAGTCCTAGAAGGGATTTCTCCCTGTTTGCACCTCACAGTTTATTCCAAGAGGTAATCTGGTGACCCCGTGGTTCTCTCCCTTCTCTACACTACAGGCACAGACAGCATTTCAAACAACTTTTCCTAGCTTAAAACCCTTACTGACAATCTTGATTTGGGGCAAGAATAACAAAAGGTGGCACATGAGGTCTACAGACTTGCTATCAGTGGCATTAAACATGGAGGAGGTAAGGAATTGTTGCGGTGGGCAAGGAGGGCTTATCACTGGGAAGTGTTTATTGTGGGAGCTGGATAATGGTCCTGTTCTTCCCCTGTCCTCTGCAGAACTACTCCTGTGACCATGGAGCATTCAGCAAAGGTTATGAGCATTATCTGTTACAGCACAAGTATCTCTGCCTTTGATTGGAGCTCCTTGACAGCTCACAGGACTCCTTCCTCCTCCAAACATCCCATCCTATGCTTGGCAGTAATTTGATGCTTGCCCTTAGAAGTAAATCCTTTGGGTTAAGATAAATATTTAACCTGTATTTTCCTTTTATTTTACTTCTTGTTATAACTTCACTTTGTGATCTTCATAGCAAAAGATGAAGTAGATCATTAGATAAGTCAAATTAGCCTGGAGAAATTAGCCTGGGGAAAAGGAGGCTCAGGAAGGACCTTGTGGTTCTCCACAACTCCCTGACAGGAGGGGACAGCCAGGTGGGAGTCAGGCTGTGCTCCCAGGGAACAAGGGACAGGAGGAGAGAAACAGCTTCAACTTGTTCCAGTGAAGGTTCATGTTGGATATTAGGGGGAAATTCTGCCTGGAAGGGGTTGTCAAGCCCGACACAGGCTGCCCAATGCATTGGTGGAGTCACCATCCCTGGAAATGTCTGAAAAAACATGTGAATGTGATACTTAGGGACACAGACTTGATGATCTTAAAAGTCTTTTTCAGCCTAAACAATTCTGTGATTCTAGGAAATGCTAATGACAGGGTGGGTTGGAGATGTTACAGCACCATGTGCACTGATGGTCAGTCTAGGCAATATTCTACTCTCCCAAAGCTTCACAAACTGACATTTTTTTCTTCAAGATGTCAAATCTTGAAGAAAAAAATCTACTCCTTTATGAGAGCTCCTGACCTGTACCCAGTGCAGGCAAGCCTCATGCTTTCAGAAAGAGAACAAAACATTGATGTATCCTTATAGACTAAAAGCTGCTGGTGAATTTATTCATCCTTGATGCCAAAGCAGAGATATTCCTATGAAACTGATCAAAAACTTTCTATGAGCTCCATTGTCTGCTGAAGTGCTCTCAGTACATAGATTAAAAGAGCAAATCAAAGCAACTCCCTAGTTAAGCAAACTCCCAACCAGCCCACTAGTTCAAAGCCACAAGTCTGAACAAAAGGTCTGTTTTTTTCATTGGAAAGCATTAGCAATGTATGTCTGCAATAAATCACATGAGATGTAAAGACAATGACTCACTTCATTATCTTCAAAGTATGAGAACAAAATATTCTGCTGAGACAAAAGTTCCTCAGAAATGCTGATACCCGCTGCACTTTGCTCTCTGGTGGCAGCAAGGAACAATAAAACAATTCCAATAAACTTCTGCAAAAACAGAACTGCAGAGATTACAGGATTTTAGTCTGGATTTCTGTGTTATACACACTCATCTTACAGCTCCAAAAAGGCTCCCTTTGAGGAATAGGCCTGCAAATTAAACCTAATGTCTCAAAACTAAATATGTGCAGAGCTGAGGAGCAAACATGCCAGCAGTAAAAGTTCTGGTGGCCAGGAGGAAGGAACCCAGTGGGACACTGCAATTGTTTCTGTGGATAATCACAAGGGTTAGTTCAATACATTCCAAAACTGACACCTCTACTACAAGCAATAAAACCCTGCAAAATCTTCATAACTTGACACTGTGCCATCCCAAGAAATTTCTAATTTAATTCACCCAGAGCTCTTACTGCCCACAAGCCACATCCCTTCCTTGAAGTTCCCTGAGTACTTACATTGAACAGGTCTGTTTTATCTGCTCTATCAGGCAGCCACAGGTGACAGGAACCAATTTCTCCTAAAATGATCAAAAATCCTGACTCTAATGCATGAAATAAGCATAGTTGATGAAAGCTCAGAAACACAACCATGATGCCACAAAGCCCCTGCCCAAGGACACAGTCCTGCTGGTGAAGCATTCCTGTCAGGAGTCCCAGGGAATTACTTGGAATAACCTAGACCAAAAGCTGAGATTTATTAATCCTGATACACTATTACTTCCAGAGTTACACAAGGAGAAATATGCAGCAGTAAAATTCAAACTGCATTGAACTGTGTTGTAGCAAAGGAAGTTCCAAAATGGGGTTTTATTTTTACTATCCCATCATCCAAAATCCACATTGGAATGCCAGGATGAGCTGCAAAGGCATGGAGAACAATGAAGTTAGTGACAACTAAGTCTTTTCAATTAAAGATTTGCCACACAAATCATAGAGAATCTTAATCTTTACTGCCTTGACTGTGTAATTGGCACACAAGAAACACTGAGGGGCTGGAGCGTGTGCAGATATGAGAATGGAGCTGGAGAAGGGTCTGGAGCACCAGGAGCAGCTGAGGGAGCTGGGAAAGGGGCTCAGCCTGGAGAAAAGGAGGCTCAGGGGGGACCTTGTGGCTCTGCACAGCTCCTGACAGGAGGGGACAGCCGGGGGGGTTAGGATCTGCTCCCAGGAACAAATGATAGGACAAGAGCAAACAACATCAAGCTGTGCCAGGGAAGGTTTAGGCTGGACATCAGGAAGAATTTCTTCCCTGGAAGAGTGGTGAAGGGTTAGAACAGGCTGCTCAGGGCAGTGGTGGAGACACCAACCCTGGAAGTGTTCAAAAAATCAGTTGACATGGCCCTTAGGGATATGGTTTGGTGGGCATTGGGGGATTAGCTTAAAGGTTAGTCTTGATGGTTCTGAAGATATTTCACAGGGCTAATGATTCTGTGATAAGCAAATACTATCAGTACTGGTTGCCAACAAAAACTGCCCCAGGTTTTAATCCATGTTCCCTTCCTGAATGTTTGCTGTTAGGACAGGCTGGGGAGTAAGTTCTTCTGCTGCCAGGCAGGACCACAGCCTGGCCCAGTGACCTGGACTGGACAGGGCCAGAAGGAACAGCTCACCTGGGCCAGCAGCCACAGATGCTTACATGGGAGTTTGCTCTCTGGTAGAGCACATTCCACAGATGAATTAGACTTAAACTGTGCATGGCTGAGTGCTTAAAAAAAAAACAACCAAAAAGCCAACCAGCCAAAAAAGTTGTATTTAACAGACCCAGCTTCCAGACAGAGAATGTGGTGATATACCAGTTTAGCATCACCCTGCAGCCAGGCAGTTTGTGAAGACAGACTGACTAATGCAGATCAATCCATGATATACCACTGAGGCCACAACTAATCAGACATGGAACTGAGATAAAGTCACACAAATCAGACACAAAATTCCAAGCAAATAAACAAATAGCTCTTCAATTCCTAGCAATTAAGGATTTTAAATTGCAAAAATACTTCTTGCCCAGCATGATCAGCCCAACTGTGTAATTTTAGTGTGCTACAAAATAACAAGTAAACGCTGGATTTTTGTAGGTATTGTTTCAGTTACTGTCTCGGTTTGGAGACAAATTGAGGAGAAAACGCTCTGAAATGAGTGTTTCCTCTAAAGAGGAGGGCTCCAGTAATCTTTTTTGCTAATGAGAAATGGAAACCAGTGGGTGAAAGTGAAAAAACCCCAAACTATTTATTAATGAAGAAAACAGCCAAGAGGTGCCCGCAAGGCACCGGAAAGGAGTGTACAAATGGCAGATTTGGAGGTTTCAATGCCTTAAGCCCCATCCCCCAGCAGAGCGCTGGCCGGAGGCAGCGATGGCGCTGCCCCCTTTGTCTCCGGGAATGGGAGAGCAGAGCGTACGCAGCCCCTCGGGAGGAACAGACGGGAACCTTTCTGGCACTGGACTCTTCCTCACAGCAAAAACCCCCTGGTTTTTAGGGTCCTCTCTTGTGTTGGTTAGCTTCTCCGAGATCGGTTCGGGGCAGCCCAGCTCCCTGGACGGGCCGAAAAAAACCCCAACATCGAAAGAGTTCAAGGAAAACAAACAAAAAAAGCTGCCAAGAGGATTCCCGGTACAGGCTCCAGGCTAGAGGAAGGGGAATAAAACCTTGTTTCAAGCTGGCAAACAGCTAATCCAACAGCAGGATCAGTGCGACGCTCCGGTCCGCCCGCAGCCCGAGCGCGGGGAGAGCGCGTTTGACCCGAGCCGCGCAGCTCCGCGCCCCGGCCCGGCTCTTCCCAGGGCTACAGCCGCCGTTTTGGGGCATAAAGCACACGATTGGGGAACAAAGTATCATCATAAAATCACCCCATAACAATTGCAAAACAAAGCTGCTCCTTTGTGTATGTGGACAAACCGGCCAGGAGTTACCACAGCTATGCTGAAAGAAAATACAACCCTCCAGCTGCTACCTTGGAAATTTTATGGCGGAGCTGATTTAGAAAGCGAATAAATGATCTTTTCATGTGCCCCTAAGTCATTAACTTGGAACCCTACTTCTGCATTCAGCAGCTCTAGTTTGCTGCTAGATTTAAATTAAAGCCATACCATGCAGATCAGCTGGGACATGGCAGTGGGGAAGCTCATGTAGAAACCCAAAACTGAAGGAAGGAACAGCATTAAGATCCATTTGTTGTAACAGCCAACACAACAAGGTCCCTAAAACGATGCTGTTAAATTGCATGAGGAAAACTGATTTAAGAACCTGCTCTAAAAGCCTTTATGGCATCATACAATCTCTTCTTACCAAGGAAGACAGAAAACTATCAGAGCATTCCTACTCTTGCTGTACCTCCATCTCTTGTGCATATTCTATTCTCAGGCCATGGTTCACATCAACATTCAAATAATAGAACTTTTATTTTTAAAAAGTCAACATTTGCAGAGATTTTACAAACATTTCTTAGTGTCATTTGTTTCCATGCTTAGTTATTTAACTGCAAAGGTGAAGTTACTGCAAGTTGCTTCAGAAATTATTGAATTTCAGTCACTAGCAAAAAGTTACATTTAAAACAAAATATTTTAAAATTTGATAGTAGTATTACTGAAATAATTGCAAGCATTATTTTCCATTAATGAGAAGAACCTTGAAGACAGAAACAAGAATCATCATGCCTTGTAAAGAGACTTCCAAAGGCACAGAAGAATTTGTACACCCAAGAATCCATAAACTCAAAAAGCGCTGTGCTGTAAGTCTTTAAATCCTGACAGCTTTCCATCCTCCCCAGATACAGGATTCTGTAATTTGAAAAGAAATCTGGGTCTACCTAGTAGCCTTGGCTTCAGTTTATTATCAGATTTAGCTCTTCAAATAAACCAAACCTTGAAGTGCAGGTAATCTCTAAACAGCAGGGTAACACCTTAAAAAAATAAAGCAATGCAGAGGTGAAGATCTTGTCACATTTATAAAAAAAAATTATTTAGTCACATTGGCTGCCCCCCCCACCCTTTTTACACAGTACTGTTATTAAAAGCTGGTTTAGAGCTTTATCTAATAGCTAGGTAAGTAGCA